CTGTGGCCTGGGCTTCCTCTCAACATGGCAGTTGCTTCTAAAGTGAACATCCCAAAAGTATGAGGTAAAAGCTGCATTAGCCTTTCTGGTCTGTGGCATAGCATCGCTTCGGCAGTCTCCCAGATTCAAGGGGAAGAGAACATGGATCCTAACTCTTTTTTTTTTTTTTTTTTTTTTTTAAAGACAGGATCTTGCTCTGTCACCCAGGCTGGAATACAGTGGTGCATTCACAGCTCACTGCAGCCTCAACCTCCCAGGCTCAGGCGATCCTCCCGCCTCCGCCTCACAAAGTGTTGGAATTACAGGAGTGAGCCACCATGCCCTGCTGGATCCCAGCTCTTGATGGATGAGTGTCAAAGACACACTGAAAATGAGCCAGTGAGATAGCATATCTAGGGGCTGCTATTTTTGGAAAATAAAATCTTTTGCATTCATCTTTTTTTTTTTCTTTGAGACAGAGTTTCAATCTTGTGGCCCAGGCTGGAGTACAATGGCTGATCTCAGCTCACTGCAACCTCCACCTGCCAGGTTCAGGCATTTCTCCTGCCTCAGCCTCCCGAGTAGCTGAGAATACAGACTCTTGCCACCATGCCCAGTTAATTTTGGTAGAGACAGGGTTTCCCCATGTTGGCCAGGCTGGTCACAATCTCCTGACCTCAGGTGATCCACATGCCTTGACCTCTTAAAGTGCTGGGATTACAGGCGTGAGCCACCACACCCGGCCCACATTCGTCTTTAAACAGGGATGATAATATCAATCACATAGCACTGTTTCAAAAATTAAATGAAATCATCTTTGTAAAGCTCATAGCACAGTGTCTGGTACATGATAAATTGTGAATGAATTATTATTAGCTATCCCAGTGAATGGAAGGCAGGAATATGAAAAGGGAAAGAATGAAAATATCAGTCAGATCCTTACTTCGAAAAGTTTTATTCTTATCTAGTCTAATTGAAGTACCACTCTTTTTTCTCCGTCTGAACTTTTTTCTTTTTTTTTTCTTGAGACAGAGTCTTGCCCTGCCGCTCAGGCTGGAGTGCAGTGGCGCGATCTCGGCTCACTGCAACCTTCACCTCCTGGGTTCAAGCAATTTTCCTGCCTCAGCCTCTCGAGTAGCTGGGATAACAGGCGCCTGCCACCACACCTGGCTGATTTTTTTTTGTAGTTTTTAGTAGAGTTTCACCATCTTAACCAGGCTGGTCTTGAACTCCTGACCTCGTGATCCAAGTGCTTTGGGCTCCCCAAGTGCTGGGATTAAAGGCATCAGCCACTGCGCCCAGCCCAGAGATAATTTTTTAAAGTATCTGTTATAATTACAATGAGGATTAAGCTGTCTTTTTTTTGTTTTCCCCATGGGAAGAGTTAAAGAATTTGTTTTTCTTAAATGCCAGTATTTTTATAGAATCAAATTTACCTCAAGTAATCCTTTTCATTTCCTTCCTTGTGTGAGCATCAACTTCTGTTTTTATTTTATTTATTTATTGTTTATTATTATTTTTTTAAGAGATGAGGGTCTCACCATGTTGCCTAGACTGATCTCAAACTCCTGGGCTCAGGTGATCCTCCTGCCTCAGCCTCCCAAAGTGTTGGAATTACAGGTGTGAGCCACTGTGTCTGGCTACCTTCTGTTTTTATAAATAGGTGTATCATCAAGCAACTGTTTCTCTTGAAATAAAAACAAAATGAGGTAAACTTAATACTGGCTTTGTGATCAATCCAAACGGAAGGTGCTGAATTAGCCTTAGGGCCTTCCCCTGTTTGCCACAGTCAGTGCTGGTTAACATTTCCTTAGGTGGACAGTCATAAATTGGTGTATTTATATATACATATAAATATATGGTGGTTCCTTACACACTCAAAACTACATGGGATTACATTAAATATGCTATATTGTAGCTTCTAGGATGATGCATCTATGAAGATGTTTGAACATAGATTTTTTTTTTAATTCTTTTTTTTTAGGGTTGTGTTCCCATAAGAACATAGATTTTTTTTTTTTTTTTTTGAGACAGAGTCTTGCTCTGTTGCCAGGCTGTAGTGCAATGGCATGATCTCGGCTCACTTTAGCCTCTGCCTCCTGGGTTCAAGCGATTCTCCTGTCTCAGCCTCCTAAGTAGCTGGGATTACAGGCATGCACCACCACGCCTGGCTAATTTTTATTGTTTTAGTAGAGACTGGGTTTCACCATGTTGGCCAGGCTGATCTGAAACTCCTGACCTCAGGTGATCCACCTGCCTTGGCCTCACAAAGTGCTGGGATTACAGGTGTGAGTCACTATGCTTGGCCAGGTCTTGCTATGTTCACCAGGCTGGTCTTGAACTGATCTCAAGTGATCCTCCCATCTTGCACTCCCTAAGTGTTAGGATTACAGATGTGAGCCATCATACCCGATCCAGCACATAGATCTTTGAATAATTCTTCAAGTTTATCAGTGGCACAGAGTTCTAGCAGTGGACTTACTGGGTTAATGGGTGTAATTTAAATTTTCGAATAGTTTTGTGTTCTTTTGTGTTTTCGCAATGTTTAGTAATTCAAGTCATAATTTTCCTCGCTATACTAAGTAATTAATTGGGTACAGCCCTCGTTGTTGAAGCTTCTTGACCTTGTTTTAGTAATTTGAAGTACTTAATCTCTTGAAGAGAATGGAAATTAGTAAGAAACTGAATTCCTCTTCCTTGCATAAGCTAGCTGTAACCAGCAATTAACTCCCCCAATTCTTTTCCGCCTCCTGCTGGTGAAGCCCCATAGCTCTGATGCCTGTCACCTGCCCTGATTAAGAACTTTACAAACAGCACATGAATAAAAATGTTTGGACTTGAACCTGACAAGTTTTGCATTTCACAAAAAGTGAATTTGACCTTCATTTTCACTTGTTAAATAAGGCTGAATTCCACTTAAACAAGCTTTGGTTTAATCAATGTGCATGGAAACTTAATACAGATACATTCATTTATCTCCCTTGTTCTCCCTTTTTCATCCAACTCTGTTATTTTAACCCCTCTTTGTCCTTGAATCTGTTTTTCTTTTTGTTTTGGTGCTTGTTGACTCTATTCCCAATAATGTGGGCATGACTTTTATTTACAGTGCCATAGCTCGGTGCCCTTCAGAGCTTTCTGTCGTGCTTTGTCTACATTTCAGTGTTTCTTGTTTAAGTTTGAAGGCCTGTCAAAATATGCCAGATTTGTTGGAGAGAATAGGAACTTTTCCCAGGTATTTTTTCATAGAGATGGTTTCTTTGTTTCTCCCTGCCTGTTACCCTTGTTTTATGTCCCATACTTTCTGCCTACTAGAAGAGCCACGAGGGAAACAAGTGACCCCTTTATCTACCACAGACATCTCCAGTGCAGCAAGTTCCATTTATGCTGTTGTGATGGTCTAGAGCCAGGCTGGGACGTTGGCACACGCTGAATTTGGGTACTGAAACCACTTTAAAGTTCACAGTTGACCTATTTTTTTTTAAAGCAAGTCTGCTTAATTTATCTGTGATGAAACACAAATTGGAATTTATTGTATAAAATCTCTTTTCTTGTAAATCTGAATTCCTTAGTCCAGAGCTTGATTTTCAGTAACTGACCTCCAATCTCTCCTGTGATTTTCTTTTCTTTTTTTTTTT